TGAACGTTCAGTTCAAGTCCAGCGCTAGTCTCGTCCACTTTTTTCCTGCGCCCGTGTTTGTTTGCGCGCTGCTGTACCGGTTTATTACCTGTTTTTATTGTAACCCCTCTCTCGCAAAATGCTGCCCGGGGTGCTTAAAGTGTTTAAACGAGTAAAGAAAGAAATGAAGAATTACTCAAAACCAACTGTCATCATCATGCCATTCAAAGCCGCCATATTTTTTTTCCCACATCTTCCATCTGTAGAGGAGGTGCGTTTGCATTGAACTTGGTTTCCTGATACTAGGACAGCGTATTTGAGCACTTCGTGCGCTGCTGTTCAGTTGTGGTTCAAAGAAGAAAGGAAACACGGCCGCGAAATTCTGGAAAAAGAATTGTCAGCATCGAGGTCACAAGACTCGTCCTTCAATCAGTGATTGGGCCATCCAAGTCAGTGAACGGTCTTTATCCAACACGTTGTGTTCGTACTGGACTTGCAGCACGTGACCATGCTTTAGATCTACGACTTCCACTTTGCCGGGACCATTAGAGAGTTTTAGTAGATCGTTCCCATGACTCCGATAACGATATCCCGATACTTCGCCGCCGCCTCCCTTGTGCATGCATAGTATCGTTATCGGGGCTATCGGAGGTATCGGAACGATCTACTAAAACTCCCTATTGTCTCTCGGGCGAGACTATCGGTACGGGAACCACCGATTATTGGATAATATGTCGAGAGTACACTAGATGGCGCTTTCATTTTTGCGTATAATTTATTGCCTCGTGGTTTAAAGCGACAGAACAGTGTAGCTGTTATATGAGGCCTGTTTTCGTTGTACAAAGTTTCCGTACATGCAGTCCTTCGGGTGAGACAATCGGGACTTTTAGCGAACCGTGTACCGCGTACCGCACTGTATCACGCTTAAAAGCACGCCTCAAAGGCTCCGCTAATGCATGCAGTACGCGGGACACGGTAACGATTCGCTAAAAGTCCCTATTGTCGCGTCAAAGCGGAGTAAGCTTGTGTTTCGATGCAGCAGACTGGTTTGCTTCTGCCTGTTACCAACACCAATGACGACGCTAACGAGGAATCGCTTACCTGCGTGCGAATAGGAAGACAATTGTGTTCATCCGTATTGCAGTCACGGCGATAGCTCCGACAGGTCACGGCGAAGTCGTTCGGTATCGGCGTCGCGTTCACACACCGCGGGATGCGGGAACAAAAGCGTTCGGAACAAAATAGACATGGAACCATGTTGTCCCGAACGCTTTCGTTTCTTGTGTTGTTCCGGAGCGCGCGAAAGAGCGAGAGCTGTTCTGTTCTCACCACCGGAAATGACGTCCGTCGATGATGTTGTATTTGTTGATGTTGTAGGTGGCGTTGCAAAGCGTCCGTCATCGAAATCCTTGAAAAGATCGCCCTGCGGGAATCGTCTTGGAGCCGCTGCGTGCAAAGCGGAGGCGTTAAACACAGAGTTCACAACATCCGATGCCCACTGCACGCGCTCTCTGAAAAAAAAAAAAAAAAAAGAAGGCGATTACAAATTGCCGTTGTTGGGAGGCCGAGTGGAAAAGCTTTCTTAAAGGGGCACTGACACATCAAAATCATTCTTTTTATTCTTATTGTTCGAAACGATTGAAAACGATACCGGGACATTACCCTCAAAATTCGAAACTTAGAAATCCAGCATTTCTGAAGTAAAAAAAAAAAAAAAAAAAAAAAAAAATTCCAAATGCCGAATTCGAAGTTTCCGCGCGATCCGCGCCGGTGCGTTGACGTCAAATATTGCGGAGTCCTGAGAGTCGACTTTCTTTCACGACTCCGTGCTCCAAGCCGCTGTTGCCACGGCGACCCGAACCGAGGAGGTGAGGAGCGGGAAATAAGGCTGCCGGGCGGACCGATAAAGACCGCTTTTATTCCGTGCGAGCGGTGCCGCCTGCCCAGGCGGCATGTTTCCGAGGGAGGATACAAATCCAGGAGGCGACATCACACCGGACTCCGACTTTCAGTATTTCAAAAAGAAGGGCCGTAGTGCGTTCGCAATTGCCTTAAAAAACATGCTTTACGATTGCCGTTATTAAATGTTATAGAAATGTAGCCTACAAAGCTTCTAAATTTCATGATTTCTGACGTCACGAATCAAAAGAAGCGAGGATGTGAGGAGCGGGAGAGAAAGGCGCCAAAAATAAAAAGGCTCGAGCGCGCGTAACAAATTTTTTTTTCGCAATGCGTTTTTTTTTTTTTTTTTGCGTGACTATGATTACAATTTGCATCGTTTTAGAAAATAAAAAAAAATACGACCTTTGGGGTGTCGGTGCCACTTTAACCTCTCACTTCTGTGTGGGGGAACATCAGTACAAAGACTTCTGTGAACTTCTTTTTGTTGTGTGCGTGTGTGTGATCTGGTTTATTATTGTGAACAGTACGTCTTCATGTGCGTGTATGTCCTTTACAATGCGCGGCTTTGAGGCAGGGTGTCGAACCAAACCTGAGCCCGAACCGAAAACCGGATCAAAACCGTTATTTTTGACCGAACCGGTACAAAACCGAAACCGAAATCGAACGCTTCATATTGAACCCGAACCGGAACGAAAGCATAATCTTATGTGGCGGTTACCGGTTCAACGGAAGCGGTTCAAGGCCAATGGCGTCAATAATTGGTGTTAAAGGGTAACTGCAAAAATAAACAAGTGCTTTTTTTTTTAACAGCCTAATTGGGACAAGCATGTCACAAAACAAATCTTCCGCGAAAAAACAATTTTTATTTTCTAGCAATATTTACGCCACAGGACGTTATTTAGTCGGAGTCACAACTTCTCCACATTTGAAACTCCCGCTTTTTCGACGCGCGCGGAGTGGCTGTTATACGTCACTACGTGACGTATAATACCAACATTGTGGCGCGCGATTTAAAACGGACGAAATAGCCGCAAACTAAAATCGGTCTAGCGCAATAAGTGTTGATGTAAAAAATTTTATTTTTGGCAGGAAAATTGTTTTTTGGCATGCTTGTCCCAATCAGGTTGTTTAAAAATACCCTTTTTTTTCCTTTGCAGTTACCCTTTAATGGTTAAAGCTGCGGCCGCATTTTTTTCTTATACTGCCGGGAGTAGTAGTAGTAGTAAGCGTTTTATTGGAAAGGAAAACCTGAACAGTTGGCCACTCCTAAAAATGGGGGCGAGTCAGTTCAGGGTTATACTGCCGGGACTAATCCTACATACTGTCAGATATTTTTACATTTCCTTTTTATTGCATATGTAAAAAAGAAAAAAAAAAAAAAAAGCACCATCATCAAAATCAGAGGCACAAAGAGACCGCGAGGTCAGCGAGCTCGTTCAGTGACCGCCTCTATTTACGCATCTAGAGAGCTTCAACTTTACTTCGTTTTTTTGGATTGACCCTGGCGGCGCGGGAGCGGCGGCGGCGATTTCGAAGCACCGCTTCGCCGCTTGGCTACGAAATGTCCAAGTGTCGGAGCGGATTGCGCCATTCCAGGCACGGAGGCCTCCGCGCCCGCGAATGTTAAACCTCAGGATGGACCGCAGTTGCAGTCGATAAGCCATTTAGCCAATCGAGCACCGATAGCGTGCTGCTGGAATCGTTTCTTGAGGAGCCGCGCCTCAACAAAAACAAAGACATCATTCGTTACTGGGGGAATCACAAGCCTGAACGACCAGAACTCTATCAGCTAGCCAAGGTGCCTCTGGCAGCGCCAGCTACGCAAGTCAGGGTAGAACGAACCTTTTCGGGCCTCAAGTTTGTGCTTTCACCGCTTCGAGCCAACTTGGACGAGTCGACGATAGGCAAAAGATAGGCAAAGTGAAGCGAACGGAATAAGTGGAAAGAAAGATTGAAGGGGTCGGTTATGGCGCCGCCCATGCACAGCTGCTGCAAAGCGTCTACTCTCATAGCTCTCATAGGGATCAGTGGGGCGGCCATTGTAATGTCGGTGCCCATAAGATTTTCCTTGTGTCTGTCTCGCTTGACTTTGTGTGAAACATTCTGATTGTCGCCTCTTTGCTCTAAAAACAAAAAAAGAAGGCTTTTTATGCATCTATGGTGAATTAAAAGTGTGCATATAACTCATTTGCAAGGCTTTTTTAAAAAAGATAATGCGGCATCAGTTTTGGTTTCGTTTCCGTTTCAACTGTGTCCCTTGACGCGCCTCTCAACTGGGGTTGTTAGGCCTATGTACCGGGTACACGGGACAACTTGGTTGAGCTCAGTGACAGTTGGAAGATGCCAACGATCGTTGGCTGCGTGACAGTTGAGAGGAACTGGGGTATTGGAGACGTTGTCTGTCCCTGTTCCTTTCTCTTCCACCGTGAAACGAATTTCCTCCTGCCCTAGTCTCAGGGAAAAATCGTCATGGCAAAGTCCCGCCAGCTCGCCTGCGCATTGACCGTAATTTAGAGAAGAACCGTTTCCGAACGACGCTCTTCCGTGGAGCCTGTCAACGGATAGACCTGGGGTGGCCAGGCTGAGCCGGCCTAAGAGCCGCAAACAAAACCACGAAACTTCCAAGAGCCGCAGGGGGGGGGGGGGGGGGGGGGGGGCAAATTTTTGTCCAGAACAATAAAAAATAAACCTATATCCAAGTCGAGAGCAGTCCATCTGTACGTAAGGTACCAGTAGCACAAGACAACCAAACCGCAACCTGTCTTTCGATTTAAAACGCGTTCCATTTCTCTTTTTGGGGAAGTGCTCGTCTGTCCTGGAGGGAGGGCGGGGTGTGTGTGTGTGTGTGTGTGGCGGGGGGGGGGGGGGGGGGGGGGCGCGAGCCGCACTTTAACACGCGAAGAGCCACATGCGGCTCGCGAGCCGCAGCTTGGCCACCCGTGGCCGATAGACCTAAGAACGTTGCTGTTGGTGCTGACGTCATTATGCAGCACGGTGCATCTCCTTCATTTCGGTGCTCTTAAGATGGCGAAAGGTCGTCCCTTTGACCACTGGTTCGCCGCCGTCTTTGAGCAGGCTCTGTGTCGCCATGACGGGCTGAGACGGGCTCTCCTTTGCAGCTGGTGACGCTGTCGGCGAACCCGGCGGGCGTGGCCGTGCTCGGCCACCTGTCGCCGGCGGACCAGCGCAAGGTGCGCAACCTGGCGCTCATCGAGCTGACGGCCATGTACGACGCGCTGGCCGTCTCCTTCACCCGCCGCAAGAACACCCGGCGCAAGACCAAAGGTCTGTACGCGCGTCCGCCCACTCGAGCCTCCGACCGACCATTGCAACGCGCCCTCGCGCCACGAGCGAGTACTGCGACGCCTCGCGCTTTCTGCTTGGCGTCTTTTAACAGTGATGGTGGTGGAGTCCAGTTTGCTGTGAACTGAGTTTATTCGAGCGAAAGAAAAGCGTCTAGTCAAAACGAGCAGAAACACCTTCTGCCTTGCCGGGGGTGGTCCGACGACGTTTATGTTCCTGACAGGTGAGGGAAACTCCGTCGATCCCCGCACCCGGGGGTGTCGGGGGCCTCTCCGTAGGTCGGGGCACACGACTCGTACCGCTGGCTCGTACGACGCGTACGTATGTAGCACCCCTCCACCCTTTGTTCGCATTAAGCAACTTGAAATCTCGAGGGCTTCTGTCCCGGACGAGTTGCCCTTTTTGGCTCGGGCATGTTTGGCGCCTCGGGAATACTGACGTCGTCCATCCATGTGCCATCCTCAGAAGTTGGTGTTTCCACTTGCAGAGTCCTCAGCCTTATCTGGTCGGCGTCTCGGGCATAATCGCCGTCTGGTTTAGTAATAGAGAGTTTTAGCGAGTCGTTTCTACACGAACGGTTCGCCCTCGAACGCATCGCCGACGCCACTGCCAAGGCGCGCGCGGGTCGTTCGTTTTTCCGGCCGCTGGAGTCGTCACCGAAACGCAGCCAGCACCGTTCGCGACTCAGGGTAAAAGAAGGTGGTCGTCCGTTCGGCGACGTACTCCACCGGCCAGCCGAGCGTTAGGCTGATTGCAGCGAGAGACGATTTGCCATCCTGTTACTCTGCTTCACTGGCGAAGTTGAACCAAATCATTTCGAGGACTGCTCACAATGGTAAGCGATCGTGAAAGCTGGAAACTACACATGCTAGTAAAGTTTGTTTGCGATATCCGGGCAGACTGGCTGCCGCGGCAACCACGAGCAGACGAAATGATTTGGTTCGACGACACACAACGTAAAAGTTCGTTCCAGTTCAAGATGACGGAGACACATCACGTATACCCTCGCGGCCGTTCAGACAGCTTTCACTCTATCTAGCTTCGTAGGTTCTGGAATTCGTACCCCTAAATGTTAGGTCGACCGCCTTGTTTACATCAGTCGTACGCCGGAAACACGAGCCACGGATTTGCACGCTGCAGAATGTTTCACGTGTTTACTAGAAGATGGCGCTACCGGTCAAACGCGATCATCATCGTTTACATGGTTGCGCCAGTTTTACAATTCGCTAAAGCACGTTAAATTTCACGTACCGTTTCACAAACGGACCAGCTGCGCCGTTCGTGATTTCGGAACCGTGTGCTCCAAAAGCGACTCGCTAAAACTCCCTAAGGATTGCCATGCGCTCCCTTCGTTTCCGTTACGACTCCCGGAATCCAACGGAAAGCCGATGTGTGGTTACGTGTAAACGAAGCTTTTAATAATAATAATAATAATAATGTTGTGGCGGTGCTGCGAATGAGAAGACGACGAAAAGGAAGACAGAAAGAAGGCGCGAGAAAAAGGACGGATGGCGATGAACGTTGAGCGCCGAACGCTGGGATTTTAAACCGTCTTGATTTTCTTAACAATTGGTGTCAGAAGTGGGGTCTTTAGCAATCACTGCTTCTCCACTTTGTTCTCTGAGCTTCTCCACGATGAGACTGGGCCGCACATTCAGCTCCCTTAGCGACTTGACAAAATTTATCTCCGGCATTCAGCTGACGGCACTCAGGGTAGGTCCTGAAGATTTCGGGGCTCACTTCATGGTTGTGTTCTACTTTCAGCTCCGTGATCTCCAGCTGTTGGCAGGCACGTCGCGCCGCTAGGACAACTTTTGCTGGGCAGTCGTTTTTCCTTGTACTTTGGTGCGGACGAATCCCCGAGGTTCTTATGGCACCACCGTGCTTGCACACGTATGTTACGTTGGCGAACTTCAGTTTCCCATCAAACGGGGTCTGGCCAGCACAAAGGCGCGCGTTCGCCGCGCCAACAGTCTTACTTTTGTGACGAAAAGAGTGTTCGTCGTCACCTGAAAGACTCTGAACTTTTGTTCGAATTCCGCGAAGCTGTTGAACTTTGCACCGACATGGATCGCCATAGCCGACGGGTAAGGAATTCGTCCGCACCAAAGTACAAGGAAAAACGACTGCCCAGCAAAAGTTGTCCTAGCGGCGCGACGTGCCTGCCAACAGCTGGAGATCACGGAGCTGATCGTTGTTGGGGGGCAGTGTTGTGGCGGTGCTGCGAATGAGAAGACGACGAAAAGGAAGACAGGAAGAAGGCGCGAGAAAAAGCACGGATGGCGATGAACGTTGAACGCCGAACGCTGGGATTTTAAACCCTTTTGAATTTCTTAACAATAACTTTATTTCCATCGAATGATGGGGGGCCCAAAGGAAAAAAGCTCCAGTAGGCAGCTTGACTGGTCCTCGGGCCCCTTACATTAATCAGCAGCAAGCAGGCGGGAAAAAAAAAAAAAAAAGGCAAAGCATATAGCGAAACCGTTGCACATCTACGGTTGACATTTCTACAAAGCAAGGTTCACCCAAGTACAAAACATAGAATGATCACGTACAAAAATATAAGCGCAGGTCTTTGAAAGTTAAACTATCAAAGCCAATATTATCAGTGCTAAGACTATTTAGTAAATGTGGGAGTGTGAAATATGATAGCCATAATCTGTTCGTTGAGTGACCATCCTCCATTTCTCTGCGTTGCGGGTGGAATAATGGGGGCAGGTTCCCCTTAAGGACGCAAGTCTTTCCAGAAAACACAATCCCCTTTTCTTTTCACTTTTAAAACTTGTAGCGAGTCTGTACTGATATAATTTAGAAATGTTAATTATTTTACGAGTCTTAAATAAATCGGCAGTATGAAAGTCATATGGCTCACTACACATTCCTCTCAATATATTTTTCTGCAGCAAAAACAGTTTTTCTATATTAGTCATTGTCGATGTGCCCCAAACTAGAAGACAATACGTTGAATGGGAATAGAATAATGATTAATAGAGCAACAATTGAACGTTCGTTGGTAAAACAGATCGGTAGCGATTTACGATTCCAACTACCCGAGCAAGCTTTGGAACAATAGAGTTTATATGATTATCCCAGCTCATTGTCTCACTAAAAAACGTTCCAAGTGTTTTGAAACAACTAACGATTTCGATGGGAGACGATTCAAAGCGGAGAACCTTCGATATAACCAGAGACTTATTTTTTTGTCGAAATATGACGGCTTTCGTCTTATAAATATTAATTTTCATGAGTTGCTATCCCCCAGCCTTTTATATTTAATAGAGTAAAGTTCGCCATTTCAATTAATTCGTCACAGGTTTCGGCAGAAAACAAAATGGTAGTGTCATCGGCATAAATTAGAAATTTCGCCTTAGTATTTACGTTGATTATATCATTAATCTATAAATTAAAAAGAAATGGTCCCATTATGCTTCCTTGTGGAGCGCCTGACGTAATAGATCTTACAGTGGAAGAATGACTGCTTATGTTAACATATTGCTGACAATGTCGTAGGTACGATTTTAAAAGCTGTAGGGCATGTCCACGAATGCCACAAATATCAAGCTTTTTGAATGATACTTCGTGACTAAGACAGTCAAAGGCTTCTGTAAAATCTAGGAACACTCCTAAAACTAATTTTTTACTTTCAAAATTTTCTAAAATAAATTCTTCTTGATTAAGTAAAGCTGCCTTTGTTGAACAGTTTTTTCTGAAACCAAATTGCGAGGAAGTTGTGAGGTCACATTTATTCGAGAAGTCTACTAAACGGTGATAGAGTAGCTTTTCCAAAACCTTCGAAAATACGGGCAATATAGAAATAGGTCTATAGTTGCCTAAGTCATTTATAGAAATAGGTCTATAGTTGCCCAAGTCATTTTTATTTCCTTTTTTATACAGTACAGAGAACTTCGCTACTTGCATTCTTCTGGGAAACACGCAAGACTCCAAAGAAAGATTAAAAATGTAAGTTAACACGGGAGCAATTAGGTCGGCAACATACTTAATTGGGCGAATTTGCATTCCATCAGCGTCGCAGCTACCGCTATTTTTAAGTGCATAATCACATTACTTATTTCAGAACTAGCAATTGGCTCTAAAAATATAGATCTGCAGTTTCTTTGGCAAATATATTTACACGAGTCATTAGTGTCGGCAATACTAGATATATTTACAAAATATTCATTAAACACATTTGCCAAATCCTGGCCGTTTAAACTCACACCCTTGTACTGCAATGTTTCAATAATGTTTGATACAGGAGACCCCTTTAACCATCGAACCAAGACGTTTCCATATTACGTCAGTGCGACCATTTGCCGACGAGAAAAGGGAAGAATAATAACATTTTTTGGCATTCCTTATCTCCTTAGTTAAGCTGTTTCGATAAGACTTAAATTCCTTAAGAGCATCTGGGCTGCGTGTCTTAACGAACCGTTTGTATAGACGCTTTGCAGCAGCTGTGCATGGGCGCCGCCATAACTGACCTTCAGTTTTTGTTTCCTCTTATTTCGTTCATTTCACTTCATCATTACCATAGCAGTCCAGGTTATTGCCACATTATATCCAAAGCTGGGTCCTTTTCTAAAGCATCGGCCTTTGTAGAGGATCGGCAACTACCGTTTCAGTTGCTCGGCATCTCGGTAAGACAAGAGAAGGTCAGCAATGGCGGCTGTAATTTGGCGCGTGTGTAAAGCGTCTATAGCACATCTTTCTTACGAATTGTTTTTTTTATCAAACTCGACCTTCGGTTTACGAATCTCTTTTGATATTTTTACGGATTTATATGGAAAGTGAAGTTTATACAGCTTTAGAAATTGTTCTAAAAAAGAGTTATAGGCATAATCAACCGTTTCTTGCGTAAGCACCGTATTCCAATCTACAGCTGCGATATCTCGTCTAAAAGCATCGAGGCTATTTTTATCGATACTTTAGAAAATCGCAGGCTCACATTTCGTTAGCTTTCGAGATATATTAAGCTCAGCACA